TGATCAGAGTCACGGAACGGATTAAGTTCGTAAGTAGAGGTACCACTGTACTCTGATTCTCCTTTTAATTTTTTTCCACTATATTTCTAACTAATCCATTATTTCTCCTAAAATTTAGCAGTTTCTTGGCCAGTATCCTGTAATTCAGTCTTCCATAGCAATGAACATTACAAAAAAGGGAAGGGCATTCTATGCTGCCTTGCATCCCAGGGTTGAAGAAAATATTTTGGACTTGTTCACTTGTCTGGGGAAGCTTTCAAGAAACATCATGAGTGTGCTTTAAAAGCCCAATGCCTTAAAATCTCTGGATGATTTTTTTTCCTGGTTTGGGGAAAAAAACTAATCCCTACCCCCCACCCCCAGCCTGAACATAGTCTTGTTCATTCCAGTAACTTCAGAGGCCTTATTCCATGGGCTTCTCCAGCAGATAGAAAGAAATGTAGCCTTGCCAGGGCCAAAAATTTGCCCCCAACTCCACAATCGAAGTTTGTAACAATTCCTAGCTGCCTTGTTACAAATTCACAGTAGTGCAACCTCTTTTTAATGATGAAGCAGATTTGCTTGGTTCTCATTGGAAAAAATGGAAAATCCAGATCAATAGAATTTACTCAGAATTACTGGTCCCTTGGCTAGAAAGAAAACAATGGCTGAAAGCTCAGAGTTGGAGGCTGGTGATGTCTGGGAAGCTTGCTAGCTTAAAGGAAATCCAATGACTAGAACTGGTCCCTTACCAAAAAAACCCACAGAAGTGGCCTGAAAAGGGCTTGGACACAATTTTGCAGATCTCTTGTAATGTGCAAATCTATTTCTGCCCTGTGTCATTTTCAGATGCTGTTATTAATATTTCAATTTCTTTTACATATTAATCTACCACTAGATTCCTAGGTGATTTGCAAATGATCAGCAAGAGCTTTTATTTCAGTTGTTTGAAAATAGCAATAGAAATAGGAATTTCAGTTAGGTTGCTGAAACCCTGGGCTAAGAATAAGTAATCTGATATGTAATTGTTTGTACACTTGGAAGTTAGTGTTCAGGTTCAGGTTCAGAGATAGCCCAGAAACTGCATTGGTTGCGCTTCTTGATGACCTTTGGAGAAGCCAGGATCAGGGGCATGCACCCCTTTAGGTCCTCTTTGATTTCTTGGTGGTTTGCAATACCATCCCCCATTGTATCTTTCTGGAATGCTTCCCAGGGATTGGGGAGGGGCCACAATCATACAATAGTTCTTGTTAGCCCTGCGAGGTAGTCCAGACAAGAAGCACAACCAGGAGTACTAGCTCTATCTTTATTGTAAGGTTACATTAACAGAATCTTGCAAGAAAGTATTTCTCCCCTCCTTTCCTTTTACTTTCTGGAAAACTAGGGAGGGTCCCTTCTGAAATGTTTCCCATGCCATCCTTCCTTTTGTGGGCCGAGACTTCATTTACATACCAGTTGTCCCATCTGCAGCTCTCCCTGGTCTCCCAAGGTTATTCCCACATACCATTACAATTCTACTCCCTCCTATAGGGGCAGCTCTGATCAGTGGTACTTTGTGGTATGCCTCAGAGATCCTTCCTCTCCCCACTTTTCAGTGTTTACATGAAACCACTGGGAGAGCTCATTTATTAGCACAGCACCCAGTATATGCTAGCAATATGCTGATGATACCCACCCCGAGACCGAACAAGCAATGTGCTGGGCACTGTCTCAGTGCCTGGAGACTGTCAGGGTCTGGATGGGGAAGAACAGACTCCAACTGAATCCCTCCAAGATGGAGTGACTCTGCGTTTGTGGCATGAATGATTCCAGGGAAATACCAAACTTGTCTTAGAATGGAAGTGACATGGTCTGCAATTTGGAATTCTCCAAGACTCACAGGTTTTGCTTTAAATTCAGGTGGGAAATGTGGCTAGGAGGGCCTCTGCAGTTACATTGTGACCATTCTTGGATGGGGATGCTCTGCTCATGGTCATCTACAGCCTAGTCACCTCCTGCTTGGATTACTGTAACATGCTCTACATGAAAAGCATCTGGGAACTACAGCTGGTACCAAACGTGATGGCCCAGGCAGTAATGAGGATGATCCTCTGTTTCAGGAGATTAATTGGTTGCCAGGGACTCCTGGGTGCAATTCATGGTGCCGGTTGTCACCTTTAAGGCATGGCCCTAGTTATCTGAGGAACTGCCTCCTCTGGCATTCATCTACTCATCCAGCCAGGTCTCACAGGGTCAACTATCTCCAAGTCCCATCTCTGCAAAACTGTAATCCAATGGAGCCTCAGAGGTAGGTTGTTTCCACTGCCATCCACATTCTTTGGAATTCCCTCCAAGTGGACCTTTGATCTACCTCATCCCTCCTGTGCTTTAGGAAACTTGTAAAAGCCTTTTTCTTTTGACTGGCAAAGGAAGAGGTTGCTTTATAATATGCAGGTAGGGTCCGCAGTGTGCATGACTTATTTATATGGATTTTGGTTTTGTGTGCATTTGTTGTTAGCTGCCTAGTACCTCTGGCCATGGGTGGCATACAAGTATAGCAAATAAATAATGTGGTGTGTGTGTGTAAATAGATATAGATATATCAGATGAATTCAATTCTGAAAACAATTTCCTCCATGTAGAATGTGCTCTGAGACACTGTATTTTTTAAATATAAGGCCATGTCTTTTTAGCTGATTCTGTGGATGGATAGGTAAGTTTTAGTGAAACAACAGCAACCACAAAGTAGGTCCAGTAAATCTGAAATTTGCCGACCCCTTAAAAAAACAAAATTGACACTGACTGTTAAAACATCTATCAGGAATTTATTACAACACATTGTTCCCAAATACAAAAGAAAGGAAAAGAAAGAGAGGGTAAAAAGCGCTGCTGTTTACAGCCTTCAGTAATAAATAAAGTCAACGCAGGGGCCGAGTGTACCACTCAATCCTGCCAAGCAACATCCAATGTTAGCATTCCTTTAGCAGGCAGAAGGGGATGTAGTCTGGTTATCACGAGAGAAGAAGAGGACAAACTCAGAGACCAGATGCAGTGTCATTTCCCCACACCCCTCACCCATCCTAGATGGTACTCAGAATTCATTCCCAGGACATACAAATGTTTATATCCAAATTTCCATTCCTACAGCAATCTTTGCTTATGAATTGCTGTATCTGAGAACAAAATCCTCATCTCTTGTTTGAGGATCTCCACAGACTGAGGTCTTCAGTTCCATGCCTGTGTCAGAGGCTCAGCATCTCACCCCTTAGTCAAATAATTTCCCGTTGTTTACAAGGCAGAAGAACTTGCAGAATATAAATGTGGATCCACAGACAAGAGACCAAAAGGGATTCTGTGTATGCTTTCTGAGAAAGTTAAGTCAATTTCTCTACTCTTTCCAAAAGAATTCTGAGCAACAATAAATAAACGCAACATACTGCAACAGAAAATACATTTTGCACCTCCTCTCCAAAATCTCAAAATAATTTGTTGAGTGGCTATTCTACTGATTCCTACTGAGGATGGCTAGGAAAACATTGTGGCAGATAGATGATTATAGGAAAGACTCAAACGCACTTTGCTCACAATTTGCAATACTGACTTCTATTCATTGAGCAATAAAGGAAAATTGGGATATCAGTCTCTAAACGATTCCCAGAGACACAGGAATTGCACCTGGTAGTTTTAGCCACTTCAGGTTCTATGACAAACCTGAGAGGAAACAGGGACACTTGTTCTGTGTATGAACCAGTCATAATTGCTTCAGTATACTGAAGTAGTCAGATAGACTTGCCCATGACCTGCAACTATATAGAAAATAGTTGTAGCTTTGAATTTTATTGGGGCAATAATACTAAATACATTTAATGACAAATATTCCACTATACAAGTTGTATAGTGGGTGAAATCTATACAACTTTAGAATGAAATAATCTGAGTCTTTCGTGCTATTGATGTCAATTTCTGAACACTGTTAACTTGAAAGAGCTCTTACTTTCAGATAAGGGAACAAGGTCTCTCTCTCTTCTGTCCTGTAATGTCTAATGTAATCACAATACTAAGGTGACAAAAATTCTAGAGTACAAAATCAAATTTAACTGGGTTTTATTACAGGATTTGGAGACTAGAGACCTCTTTTTAACTGCTTTTGGTTTCGATCAAACACATCTGCATGATGGCTATTGATACAGAAGCATGACTTGAAAAGACGTTGGGAAATTAGATTTTCTCCAGAGTGCAAACAATTTTGAGTTCTTAGCACTCATCAAATTATAATTCCAGTGGGAGAAATCACTGCCCTGAAATTAGTCTGCAATGGAACAAGTCTGTGGCTGCTTTTCCCAACCTAATACCAACCAGATGAGTAAGGATATAATTCCCACCTAGCTGGGGGTGCTGGGATTTGTAGTCCAGAAGAGGGAAAACTGCTGTTGGATGAAAAACAGGAGCTGTTCTGTATCTCCTGATGCACTTTTTATTATTTTAAAACATGTTAGAGCTTTTATCTTTCTTCCTACAAAACTTTAGTCGATTTGAGGAAGCTTCAGTGTCTGGCAGAGTTTTTAAGAGAACACAATATCCCTGAGAGAAGGCCTTCTCCACCTCCTTCTGTATACTATTTGGCAATCACGCATGCCACAGTATTGACTAGCCTTTACATACAGTTGGAATCAGAGAAAGCAGAGGGCAGGTGGAGAAGGGAAAGGTCCGTATATATTCACAACAGAGAAACAAAGATCAACATACATAGAAGCAAAATTACATAATATAATAATAAATACTTAAATCTATAATCCATACATTGCAATTACAACATTGATAGCTTATTATCATTAGCATTAGGATCCAGAGGAAAGTAGGAAAGATATCCTTTTAAGGGATTGGCATCCAGTAGAGGAGACATGAAAACGGCACATGGGGTACAAGAAACAAAGAGGACAGAAATAATAAATAAAACCAGAACAGACACATGATAAAACAGGCAGAAGGATGAAGAATCACAGCAAAGCCTTCAAAACAAAGCAAAACAAAACTTTTTGTCACAGGGCAAAAATAATTAAAAAAAGGTGCTGCAAGCCAGAAAATCACTATGTAAGACCTAGGAAAATGGATAATTTTGTACCTGAAGTGAAGTTAAAGTAGCATGTCTCTTTCCCCTCATTCTGGAGATGGAGAGTTAGCAGCAAGAAACTGATACTGTTGCAGTTAACTGCTACCCAAAACAAACTGCTTTATAATAAAGATGGTTCTCAACCTGGCCTTCAAGGTTAGCATTATATTATTAACCTAACCCTACTTTTTCTACAAATATTGAGCCCTACGTGGCATTTGGCTATATTTGAGGAAAATTAGCACTGACATTCTATTCAAGAATAAGATATGTGAGGATCCTTCTTGCCCTTATTTTAAACAAGCTCAAAAAATCTCCTTGGCATCCTGAAAGGTATGTTATTTTAGAATGGTAGAGAAATCAAACATTTCTACATTATCCTGATTGTCCATTTACTCAGCCTATCTGAAGACTCTTGGTTCCCATGTGGGACTTTCTCTAGTTCTCACTCAGAGTGCTAGTGAGTCAGAATAAATTGTAGACGAACATGTAATTGAGCTCCTAACCTGGAGTTTTTCAGTTGGGTTGGAACTGCAACTCAACAGAGTTCAGCCAAAATGGCCAATGACCTTGTTCCTAGGATTTCTATAAACTGCCATTTCAACATATCTGAAAGGAACCACATTAGGGAATGTTTATGTAGCTGAAGTATGAACATCAAATCACAACTGTATGCTAAGCTCTCTTCCTGACAAGATTTCAGAGAAAGCGATGCTAATCTGGATCAAATTTTGGTCCTACAGAAGACTATACACTGAATTTACTGAAATTAGTGAACTATTTCTGATGTTTTCGCTGTGACACCATTGAAAGATCGTTTGCCAAAAGTACTTTCCTAATTGTTAGATGGTGCATATAAACTTCCTATCCAAGCTAGACAGGAAAAGTATGCACATCAGAACAACACTGGAAAACTTCACTCTTTAACCAATTTAAACAAACTGTTCTTTGTATGATTATCCTCCCATCCCTTGACAATCCCCAAATGTTCTTTGTCCCTTTCTATCTGGCCTTAACTTCTGACTTTCATAGAAGTCTCACAGTATTTTTTTCCCCTTCGGATGGAAAAGGGCCAACTTTGTTACCTTAATCTAATCTGGATTCTTTTCTGACACAATGAATTGTAGCAGCTCTGAATCTTTGAATTTTTAATCATGTTTATTATTCTATTGTTAGGATTAATTGGTACATTCTTCTGCCATGCCTTTAAAGCATAAGAGATTTCTAGGACCTCCAGACCTCCAAACGTCTGTTATAAAGCAGTTAAAAGGGATACTATTCTGGTTTCCAATATATGCTGAATATTATAAACATGAACCCAGTTTATACCTCTAAAGAGGAATAGAATGAATCATGCTTTCACTGCACTGATATCAGAATAATATCAGTGATAAGTGCAGATTTTTTTTTTTTAAATTAGGATCAAGGAATGAGTATTCAGCAGCAGAGCTAAAGTAACTGAAATTTCTCAAACTATGCCTATTAATATTTCTTGCCCATATGTGGAATACTGCTTTGGTTCAAACGTGTAATAATTTTTGTCATATTATTCCCAACACAGACAAATATAGTTTTTAAATGGGCCAGAATTTATAAACTTGGTTTTTCAAAGTTTTCAAATTTGCTGTGCCTGTGCATGAAGGCCAGAAATTGGGTCACCTTAGGAGGATCTGGGCTTTAGATGAGCAGGTTGGTTTCTCTGTGGAAATTCTAAACACGTCAGACCAGAAACCCTCATAAGTTTGTTGCGATGATAAAATGGAGCTACCTAATGAACTTTATGGAGGAACAACAGGAAGCAAATATAAAACAATTTTAAGTTATACAGAGATTTGGTATCGCTACTAGTTGAATATTTACTAGTGAATTAGTTTATTCCCTGGGTTTGGAATAACATTTGCCAGAGACCATGGGTATACTATGCTTCTCAGAAAGGAGTTGAACAGAACTTTTCTCATAAATATCAATGAGAGGAATCCAGGAGCACGTAATTCCAGCTCATTTAACCTGATTGGTTAGTGCTCATCCTACTTTAATCACACATTCACAAGATCAGGAATTCCTAAAGAAGAACTTTTCATCTGCACTTCTGATGCAAGCTCACAGGTGAAATGAGGATTTTATCTTTTAGCATCTGTGGATATAGAACCAGACTCTGATAAAGCTGCAGCAAAATACATTATCTTGCTTTTACCATAACAATTCAACGTTAAAAAAAAAATTATACTCCCAGTGTGAGAACCTAACTAAATCTCTCCTATCACACTGTCCAATGGCCCTCTGCAAATTATTTGCCAAATAGCACACAGGTCCACATGGTCACTTCTGAGCTTGCAGCATCTAATCGGAACAGACAGTGGTAGAATAAATACAATGAGGATCTCTCTACTTTGTGTCTTGGCAAAGTAGACAGCAATTACTATGGTCAGGAAACAGACAACCTGATGCAAGAACATGTTATTGCTGCTCCCCCGTGGTTTGTTATTTGTTTGCAAAGTTTGAACCTGAGATTGTTATTTTTATCTTGTGTATTTTAAAAAAATACAGCTGAACAAGAAAAGAAATGGGAAAAGAAATGCACTAAAAAGATTTTTTTTTCCTTTTAAAAGCTACACAAACAACCCTGAGGTATTGGCTCAAAAAAACCAGCATGTGATACGAAAGGAGCAATGCAAAATCAGATACACAAAGAGAAAAATGTGCTTTCAGGGAGACAGTTCTGTGCCTTTATCTTAAACAGATGAAGCAGCCCTGTGGTGCCTCTGTATCATGAGCTGAGCTGATTCCTTTGCAGCTCGCCCTAAACAAGTAAGTCCAGAGTAGCCAATAATGAAAATGTGCAACATCTCTTCCCACTCTTGTGTTTCGACTGGGATCTTACACTTGTGGCCAATATTATCTTGACATGCGTGTTCCTTTTGCTTGCCCTAAAGTTCCATTCTGTACCTGTTAAAGGCAATGTAAACAACATGGCCCTCTGATAGAGACCTTCAAAAAATATTTCATACAACATTGGGACTGTAACATTGATCAACTACTTACCAGGTGAAGCAGCCCAGTCACATGGAGAGCCTCCACACCAGTGGTTCCCAGGAAAATGACACACTGAGATGGAGACCCTCTGCTTGGTTGAGCTCATCCGCACAGTCAGTGGCTTACAAATAACACCCCCTGCCCCATTGGACAACCAGCAGTGTGTTGTATTTTTCAAACGATCTTCACATCAGAAATACATCTGAATCAGCCTACAGTTCAATATGTTAAACCATTTTCCTCATCTGAGGCCAGCCCTACTATAAAGTTGATTGAGCAGCAGATGTCTACCAGTAAGAAGTGATATATTTTACATTCTTTATTTTATTAGTATACTTTTTACAACTGGGAACAGTGGTTCAATTATCCACTTGTAGTGTGAAAAAGTCCTGAGCTGGCTATGGCCTCTTCTGGTTTATGATATACATGTTTTACAAGGTGCCAGAGAAATCTTCCCTCCATTTCTCCTTAATGAGAAAAAAGTTAAGAAACCTGCCTAAGAACTTCATCCAAATATTTCCCAGTGACTTATTTAGATGAAGCTTTCAGAACTAGTTTTCTTATCCCGGTCATTAAAACTACTCTCTTAAAGTCAAGACAAATAAAATCTCTGGCTGAACTGAAGTTCTTAATAACATTCTAGAGGCTTAGAAGATAGATGATGAAAATGGGAATTTGGTGTGGGTTGGCAAGCTCTTCACATTATGCCTAAAATATTCCACGTCCTTTCTAGAATGTCATTTCTTGAAAGGCTGTTCACTTTGATGACCTGCTAAGCGAACTTTGTCTTTGGACTGTTCTCTCACTGGTTGATTGGCATTCACTGAGAAATCCCTGATAGATGGTAAATGAGTACTTAGAGGAGACAGAGATTTTGGGTGGAGAACTGAAGCTAGAATGCCAGTTCTTGCAGTAGTAGGAGGACACTGCCTCCTGGCTGCTTCCCTAAAGCAGCCCTGAGGATATTTTAAGAGATTTTTACTCTAGTACTGCAACATTTCATTCAACAATCTTAGGCCCAAACTTCTCTTCCACCTCCAACTCCTTCCACAGATGCTGGGTTTAATACTGTTTGAACAAGAGGAGCCATTCAGAATACCCTGCCCTTGGGTTTAAGAGTATGGCCTGCCAGTCCTCCTAAGTTACTGGGAAAATAAATACTCTGGCCTTCTGAAAAGCCCCCCACCTCCCAAAATAATTTGAGTCCACATCTAATGTGCTCCCGTTACAGACAGCACATATATAATTGAATATACAGCTCCTGTGTTGTCTGCTCCCCCTTCTTACTCAAGGTACCCTTTTTCTTATAGCCAAGCCTACTCTTGCAGCCACAACTCTACTATCCCCTGCTCAGACCCAGGAAGGAGATTTTATGGCTTTGATAGCAGGTGTGATAGAAAAAGGAAATAAAGAAGCATTAAGAAGAATTCCTGGCTCAGTTTGTGTTGAAGATTTTCTCACTTTTTTTAAAAAATAAAAAGCGTATGCCCATATACACACCCACACACTCACACACACCTCTTTTTCTCTTTTGGGGGGTGCCTCCACCACTGATGCAAGCCATAGAAGGAGCCACAGGCCTAAGATATTGCTTTGAAACTCATGTTTCAGATTTAAATACCACATACATAAAAATAGAGCTGGAGTACTGCCCCTACATTGTCTGAAAATCATTGCCAGAATGAACAGCTTCAAATAAATTAGAAAGAAAAGTTGAAAATTATTTGTCTCAATAAAAACTGTAGTAAAACCTTTAAACTTTTTTGTGTTTTTTTTCTCTCTTTTATATTATATATAATATATATTTATATATATATAGGACTGCTATACAGCAGCAGTAAAGAATACTAGCCAGAGAAACACAAAGGCCCATGCTCAGTATAGGAAGAAGGGAGCCTTGGAAAAGAAGCCCCACCAGGTTTCTGTACCTGAATCTGGGAAAGAGCCACCAATATATTGTCCAACCCTGATGGAATAGAAAGGAAATGCCCCTTCTGTAATGGAAACGGATGGGCAAAATCTCAATTACTTCCTATAAATTAGATAGGAATGTATTAATTATAATTAGTAGTACACTCTTCAAAGAAAAGAACCTGCTTCCCTTTAACTCTTCCCATTGCAAATCTGCAGATCAAACAGTAACCATTTTCCTCCAAGAAAACTTTCACTTGCAAGCTTAAATTTTGCCCTCATTTCTCTTTCAACCCACCTTAGGAGACATGCATCAGCTCTCCCTATTCCCTCTGAAGGGGAAGAGAAAGCACCCTTTGCATGCAAAAGAAAAGAACCCAATATTTAAAGAGTTAATACACTCTCCACCTACCCAAAAGGGAATGTGATTGTGGTTTGTTGTGGTGTGGAGGTAGGAACAAAAGGAGGCACTAAGCATGCACCGTTATGTTTCTTGACTTCAGATTCCTTTAGCTTCGCCTTCATTTTAGCGGATATGCCCTTTGGAAATGCACATGGGCATATGAAAAAAATGCTCCTACCCGTACCCACACCCTTCTTCTCCTCAGTTAAATATTTCACCAGTCTTCCTCCTCCCTACCTCCCTTCCCCTCCCACACCCGATGTACCCACACTTGCTCTCAAATCTCACACAGTGAAAATCAGGACACCTCTATGATCTCCATGCTGCCTGAAAAACTAGATTGTTTGCTAATTTTGCCCAGGTCTTCCCGAGATCTGCTCTCTGATAAGGTTTCCTCAAATTCCATTTGGCAGCTCCTTCTTTTGAACTGCTTCTCAGGCATGGTGTCCTCGTGCCAGCTGTGTCGCACATCTCGCTGCTCTCCTCGTTGCTTGTCCCTTAGTCTGATCTCACAGCTTGCCTGGATTGTGCTGCAGCTGAAGGAGGAGTAGGTGGTGGTACTGGCAAACAGAGCCCCACTCCCACTGCCTTTGCTGCCTGCTGCCGAGTCTGTGCTGAAGTACCAGGGGTTCTCAGCAGAAGGTGTGCTTGGGGATTCCAAGTGCATCCCCCAAGTCCCAGCAGAGGACGGGGTTGTGGCTGGCTGTGCCAGCTGCTGCCCTACACTGGGAAGGCTCAGCCGAAGGGTCTGCTTGAGACTGTCCTCCATGCTGGTGCTTTTGTGCATGGCGCACACCCCACTGAAATTAAGGCTCAGCCCATGGGCAGGGGAGCCTGCTTGGTGCCTGTGCTTCCGTCGCTGTCGTACTTTGGCCTCTAGAATGAAGTCAGGTCCACTGGGCCAGTCAGAACCATCTGGAACAGGAGAAAACTGGCACGTACCATTGGGACCCGAAGGGCTGTCCAGCTTACAAAGCTTGGGCGTTTCCTCTACTTCTGTAGGACCTGGGACATCCTGCCTTTGGCTAGGACAGTAGGCTGACTTGATGTCCAGAGAAAAAGAACGCTTTAGTCGGTTGGTGTCTTGAATGCGCTCAGAAGATAAATGCAGCCCATTGAGTCCTTGCTGCAATGCCATCGGTGAGACAACCTTTGAAATTCCTAATGACCGCTCAGAGTCAATGGAGGATGTTTCCAAGATTGTGCTTTTTAATACCTCCTCAGGCTTTTCTGAGGTAGACAAAGTCTGGGGTCTGTTACCTTCACATGACTCAAAGTATTCTTGCTGGGATTCCCCTTCACCTTTCTCTCCTTGGGCCTTCAAAGCCTTGAGTAGCTTCAAACTTCTCTCATACTCTAGAAGTTGACCCAAGAAGTTGAAATTGGGTGATATGGAGGGACGTCTGTCTTTGACAAACCTGCCAAGACAAGCAAAGACCCATGATTATTCCTTTTCTTACTTCCAATAAAACTATATTTTATAGAACTTGAAAGTATTAGCAAGATTTTGAGCATCTAATCAGCAAGCCATGGTTGTAAAAGATTCTTAAAAACTCTACTATTCAAAACAACACTAGAAACACTGTTATATTTATCTTTCCCACATGCCCACGGCTTTAAAAAGTAGGAATGCATTTAAGGATCTCTCCTTGTCCAATAGAAGATCAGTTATCACCAAATTCCATACATTTCAAGAGTTCGGCAAGGTGGCTATGTCATCTGTATGTGTTGATTCCTTACCCATATATAAGCCATTGCTATGTAGGGTATTAGTTCAACACTATGTTTTTTTTGTTCTGTGTGCCCTACCTGCAGTTAAAAAAACCAAATTCACTGTGAATCACAAAATGATTATATTTACATGTGAATGAGCCCAAAAGACCACAGGCTGGGAGCCAATCAACAGGTGAAATTGAAGTGGGTACCACAAGCCTGACAAGTCACGTAAATCAGTTTCTAAGCTTATGCTAAGAAATTGGCCCAAGAAGAACTAAGAACTTTTTAGAGTCTCACAAAAAGCCATTCCCTCACTGGTATAATATTTATGGTATTGTTTTCTTTTTATGTGCCTCCATTTGTTTTTTATGGGGGGACATGTGGGGAAAAAACCCTCTAAAAACTGCTTTTTAAAAAATAAAACCTGTCCTAAGGAGCTTTTGGAGGTTTGGGGGAGGGGGAGGGAGGGGGAAAGAAGCCAGCCAACCAACTAACCTTGCCAGAACAAATAATGAAGTTGATTCCCCTTAGAAAGACAAAAAACAGACTTCCATCCTCTTCTTCTGGAAACCCACCTACCTGTAGGCATCATCTGAAGACATGCCCATGGTCTTCATGATGTATGCAATGGCAATGGTGGCCGATCGGGAAATCCCTGCCAAGCAGTGCACAATCACCTGGCAGCTAGAAACCTTGGCCTTATCTGGAACACAAGAAGACAGATGTCACTTGAAGCAAAGAAACCTGTGATCCCTTAAAGACTAACAAGATTCACTTCAGATTTGGTGAAGTAAAGGCAAATCCAAGAAAGCTTCTATTATAACAAATCTGAAACCTTTAATGTGTCATAAGCTTCTTTGTTGTTTTTGTTGCTAGAGACTAACATCACTCCCCCTTGGAGAACAGAAACAAGCAGCAACAAACAGCATGAACAAGATATTTATCTCTGCACAGGTGGCTGCTTTAAGCCAAACCTTGTTGCTTTAACTACAGTGAAACCTTGTTTTAATTGATTAACTGGGGGGAGGGGATGTTAATTATTCCTCTAACTCTATCTCATCACAGGGCCACATATTTCATCATTTGCATATTGACATCCTCATGCAAATCACTTCATTTGTATAGTAATGCCATTATACAAATTATGGTCTTTTGCAAATTCCATTGTATTAAGGTTCAGGAAATCCAGGTTTCACATGCTTGTCATACTGGTTTATCCAACTCCTACGTTTAACTTGCAGCAAGGAGAGGGAATCTGAGGATCTCTTGATGTTTCCAGACTACAGCTCTAATTAGCCCACCCAGCATGACGACTAGTCTGAAATGAAAAATGTTGTGATCCAATTGTATGTTCCTTCTTGCTAATAGAGCATGTATAATATGGGAATCATATACTTTCCTTGCACAATGCAAATGTGAAATGATTTAAAGAAACCAAACAGGCAGATACATCTGTTCATCCTTTATGTGTGGCCCCTTCAGTTCTTAAAGCCTGGACTATGGCTGTCTATTTGACAATCACCTGCAACAAACTGTTGCTTTGAATGATGAAAATTATTGGACGGATGAAGCCTGGATTAAAAATCTGGGCTCAGAATTCATTTATTTAAACAAAGCATCAATTAAATAAATCAACACATATCAGCATTGTTTACAAATGTTTACAATATGATTCCCTTCCCTTCTCTTCCCACTAGCCTTTAGATATTTTGGATATCAACACTCATGAATCCTAAAGGTCATCCTGGCTATGAATTATGGGAGTTGGTCCAATACTCTGGAGGGTACCAGGATGATGAAGATTGCTTTCACAGAGACTTCTGAGGCACTGCCTCCACTCTAGGTCTTAAGAAATAAATTATTTTTTTGAACATGTACTCTTGTTTAACAAATCATATGTGAATAAGGATGGCTGTTTTAAAGTTAAAAATGCAGATTAATCAAAAGAAGGAGCAGTATGGTCCCAAGTAGTATTAACTGTTCCTCCATGATGTCCCAGATGTACATCAGTCTTGTCATCTGGGGCATCAGCACCAGGAAAGTTGTTTTGTACAAAGAGAGAAGGTGTTTATGAAGATTCTCAGTCATCCAGGTGGAATTATCTGGAGGTTGAGTCATGGCAATTGGACTTCTTTTCTTTTTCTTTTTGGTTAGAGACATTTCGCTACTTGTCCAAGCAGCTTCTTCAGTCAGAAGCTGCTTGGACAAGTAGCAAAACGTCTCTAACCAAAAAGAAAAAGAAAAGTCCAGTTGCCATGGCTCAACCTCCAGACAAAGGGAGAAGGTGTATCTCCCAAGGGCAGGCTGGCATTTTGCACACCACAGATCTTAAAATATGGCGTCAATGGAACCGGGGGGGGGGCGGGGGCTGAGCAACTCAGTCATCATTCCAAAGCCTTTTGCAGTAACAGTACAGAAACTAAAAAAGTATGAAAAAACCCTTCAGGAACTCTTTACCAATAAGCCTGGTCTTACCAATAAATTCAATTGATTTATCCAGCCAGGGAAGTAGTTTCTCACAGTAATTGTCATTGACTGGAATGCGCATGAAGTGACTGTCACAGATGAAATCTGGTTTGGGACAGGAGTTGCTGGCGTTGAGAACATAGCTTATCCCATTCTGGGTCATCAGGTCCTGAAGAAAAAAGAAGTTAAGTGGGTTGCATTTATCACTCAGTGCAGAATCCTCTCCCTTACTCTTCCAGAGGTTCTGACCATGCTCTAGTTTTAGGAACCAGTGGATATTCAGATGGCATTGAACTACAACTCTCAGCAGCCACAGTCAGTATGGCCAAAGAGAGGGATGCTAGGAATTGCAGTTCAACAATGTTGGGAAGGTCACAGGTTCTCCATTCCTATTACATTTTCCTCCTTTCTCTCTTGTATCTCCTACTTGGCTGTTCACTGTGCAGGTTTTGTAGCCATAGAGGGCCTCTGTGTATTTTAGCTGCCAATTTAGAACTGATGAGCAGCTCTTTGTCATAGCAGAGAACGGCACCTTCACTAACATCTTCAGAGCATTTGAAGTGCCTTGAAGGCATAAACTCCCCATGGAATCAGATCCATGTACTTCTTATTGTTTCCAATGGGAAAGGAAAGAGACTTGCAGCATGTCTTCTAAGAGAGGAGGGGGCTTTGGGGAAAGGCTACAAGAAGACATTTCCATGGATTAAATTATTGGGCATTAGGGTATTCCAAGTATTGCTTTGCTACAGTGAAGGAAAAAAAAAAGATCTAAATACAAAATACATATGTTCCTATTTTTCAAATTCTGAAGGCCAACATGATGTTCCTCTTCTTGAGTTACCATTTTTCTCCACAGTCTCTATGAAATAAACCCTAACCTCAGATTCTAGGAGCCAGCCAAACTCCCAAGCTTACATTCTTAGCATGTTTTTGTTCTTGTGTCTTTCTACTCCCTGTATAAAACATTCTTTTTCTCCTTTCTGCACCTCTAGTTTAGATGCTTCTTCCCACATCCCTGCGAGCAATACCCTACTGGCTCCCTCCTGCCCGGGATACATGCCTACTGGTGTTTTAATAATGACTTCATTCTTACTCTTTCTTCCCTACAGTCCTATCACAGCCAAAGCATTCTGGCACCTTTTGAAAGGACAGTGCTGCTCTCTCCCATTCCCAATGCCCATTTTTATGCATTTAGGGGCCCTCTCAAAGGATTTTTTTCTCGCAGATGTAGGCTGCACTGCCTACACTCTCTGGCACCTCAATTTACCATCAGTCACAGCTGAATGCCAAGCCTAATACCTCATCCTCTGGCTGGACATGGAAAAGTTGAGGTCAGTGTTATTCTTTAGCCTGGCTGGCACTGTACCCTGGCAATAAAAAACTGGCTCCCTTGCATAACATTTCTTAGGGTCAACCTCACCATCCTGACATTCCAACTGCTAATGTCTTTAATGCTTCAAGGGAAGCTTATTATGTCTCTGTCTCTGCACACTTCAAAATGGTCCAGAAAGACACTGTTGTTCTACTGGGTGACGTATGGATTTCCTATAGGTAGCAAGTAACTCTTTTTGACAACGACCCATAGTGTTTTTACAGAAGAAGATACAGATTCTACAAGACAAGCCCATCTCCCTCAGTGCCAGAAAGTACCTTATTTAAGACATCTTTCTGGGAACCTAGATAGAGATGAGGCAAGATGCGGGTTGGGCCAACATTGGCCACTGGCAAGCATGGCTGAGAGATACTCATTGGCAGGATGGTAGTTGGTTTCCCTTCACAGAGTCCTGGGAAGCAAGATGAGAAGGTGGCAAAGCCCCCTGAAGGAAGGAAGTGGAAGAAATATGAAGTATGAGCAACAATTCTTTTCATTAACTGCATTTTACTCTTAATATTCTACATGCATTCTATAAACCTATTACTTTAATACTGAAGTAAAACTTTCTATTTATAGAACTATTTGGTGAGAGAACATTTCAATTTTAGCCTAAATACAATCCTTAGCTTTCATGAAAGCATTAGGTACTACATGCATATAAAAGCAAATGTCCTTATTTTGTGACAGATAGATTTTTCAGGCAAATGATCATCCAACCTACAAAGGAAAGGTATCTGTTCTTTAGCTCACAATCAAGTATGGCTCTTAGGGATATTGTTGCATTTATTCTGGTGTTAGGCTTTTGCCAAGATGTTGCATACCTACAATCTGCAACCATCCCTTCACTTGCCTACTACACCCTCTCCTTGTTTAGCGACTGCAATCTGTTCCAGCGACTTTGTTGTTAAATGAAATGGTCACTAAACCAGCACATGACTCAGAGAGAGAGAGGGAGAAACACTGCAAAGATTGCTGGTTGCTGCCGTCTCATTCAGATAAAGTTCTCTTGTGCAGCTACACCAGTGTTACTCTCACTCCAGCGTGCATTGTCAGGTACAGAAATTTGGTTGTACATGCATACATTAGTTGGAAAATGAATTTTTTTACTACTGTTTATTACCACTGTATTTGCAAATGGTAGCTAACCAAAGTAGCTAACTGGGGAGTGGCTGTATTATGGTAGCTAACCAAAGTAGCTAACTGGGGAGTGGCTGTATTATGACCAGTACTTCATTAGTATCTATTGTCATCTCTCACTCTTAAAAGCTTCTTGATCTCCTATTTGGTAAAACTTGTCAATGTTAATACACTTTTTTGTTGTTGTTGTTCAGTCGTTAAGTCGTGTCCGACTCTTCGTGACCCCATGAACCATATTGCGCCAGGCCTTCCTGTCCTCCACTGCCTCCCTTAGTTTGCTCAGTTTCATGCTCATTACTTCAGTGATGCTATCTAACCATTGCCGTCCTCTTCTCCTTTTGCCTT